TGATAACCTCCACATATTGCATCAAATTGTGGAGGTTTATAAAATGTTGTTATTCGGTATAATTTGTGGCAGTTAATAACCCTTACAATTTAGGGCGCCAACGAAAAATTTAATCTATGAAAAATACTTTAGAGTAAGGATTTTAAGATAAGTAGAAATAAGGTTGAATACATGCACTACAAGTTTAGTGAGCATGAGAATAGCAAAGTTCAAGTGAGATTATTCGGGATTGTGGTGCCAAAATACAAATAATTTTGATATCTAGACTTGCTATTTCAAGAGGAAGAAATAATAGATGAAGATATTATTCAAAGAATTATAACTATATATAATGGTTGAAATGGAAAAGTGCTACCAGGGTGTTATGTGATAGAAGGATATCTACCAAGGTGAAAGGTAAGTTCTACAAAATAACTATAACACTGATATTGTTATATGGTAGTGAATGTTGGGTGGTTAAAGTTCAACATATCGACAAGATGAGGGTGTCACAACCCAAAATCCTGCCTTAGGCATCGTGATGACACCTAACCTCTAAGACTAGGTAAGCTGGTTACTTACAATAGTTACACATGTTAAATATGGTATTTTAAAACAGAATTTAATATAGATACTGAAATAAATGTGACACAAGCCTACGCGGTAATAATCACAACAATCCTCCTAAGACTAGGTAATACAGAGTCACGAACTCTAGATGAATACATAGAAATATCTCAAAATCAAAATACAATATTATTCGGATAACGAACTGACAGTACAATCCGTCCCGCATAGTCACGGGCTCAATATCACAATTCGTCCAGCATGGTCACAGTCTCACTATCACAATCCGCCCAGCATAGATACATGCTCAATATCACAATTCGTCCAGCATGGTCACAGTCTCACTATCACAATCCGCCCAGCATAGATACATGCTCAATATCACAATGGAAGCAGATAATACAAGAATATATGTGCATGATCAATGAATGTCAAGTTTCATACTCCTGAATTGGTGTAAACGGCATGCTACGGTATATGCTTGTGAGAGTGTACTATTACAGTCCAAGTCAACAAGTAATATCAAAGACACCGAGTAGCTCATTGGAAACAACACAACAAGTCACGCACGGTGCATAACACAAACAAGGAAAATCACATCATCAAACGAATGTCATCAATATTATGCCCCCAGGCCGTCACATATCATCCCTGACATAGCACCCTTATCTCTCTGTATTGATAATATAATAACAGCCACCCGTATCACTCCGTCCAGACAATAACACAATAGCCACATGTATCACTTCACCCAGACAATAACACAATAGCCACCCATATCACTCCGCCCAGATAATAACACAATAACCACCGTATCACTCCGCCCAGACAATAACACAATGGCCACCCGTATCACTCCGCACATACAGTATATCAATCGCCACCCGTATCAATCTACCCTAACAATATATCAATAACCACCCATATCACTCCGCACAATCAATAACAGTGAGATCCCACCCTTATACTCCGCGTAGCAACAATTAAACCACACAACAAATCCACATATCTAACATCACAACAACACGACATATTGACTCGTACCATAAGTGCTCATAGGCCATACCTTTCCAAACTAACAATACCAATATCACCACTACATATAACCCACGGCTCAACCACGATGTGTACAATAATCTCAATAACAACAAAATGAAACGAGAAAAACAACTTAACAATGAAAGATGTTCCATTTAACAACATATTCAACTGGAACAGGTTAATGGCTCTCAATAACTTCAACTTCAATTAATTGCTTAAGAATAAACTCATTAATGAAGGTATTTTCATGAAATGACAGCTGCAAATTCTAGTGTATGACATAAGCTAGCAATGAAAAGTATGGCATGAAATAGCAACTACGTCTAAATGCACAAGGATAACTCGGCAACAAAGGGATATCATGTAATAACAACTTCAAATAAGAATCATTCAACAATAAAAGAGGTAACATGACAATAAAAGAGGTAACAACTTCAAATAAGCATGTAAGAGTAAACTTGATAAATAAAAGATAGAAAATGTGCTAACAACTTCAAATAAAGCACGTAAGAATAAACATAACATGGAGGGTATAAATTGTGCCTGCCTCCAAATTACCTTACATGAACGCGAAGGGATGTTCGCGATCGCGATGAACAACATCAGACACCAGTAAAACAATAGTCCAAGACAAAAGAAAATGGCTCGTAGCCCATCCGAAATACACCTGAAGTCCCGGGGACCCCGTCCAAACATACTAACCAATCCCAAAATACAAAACGAACCTGCTCGAAGCCTCAAATCACATCAAACAATACCAAAACCATGAATCACACATCGATTCAAGCCTAATGAATTAATGAACTTTCAACTTCTAAAACAAATGCTGAAATATACCAAACCAATTCCGAATGAGCTCAAAATTTGCATGCAAGTCCTAAATGACACAACGGAACTATACCAACTCCCGGAATCATAATCCGAACACAATATCAACAAAGTCAACTCCCGATCAAACCTCTCAACCTTCCAAACCTTCAAATTTCCAACTTTCGCTAAAATAAATCAAATTAACCTACGGACCTCCAACTCCAAATCCGAACATATGTCTAAGTCCAAAATCACCATATCAAGCTATTTGAATCATTAAAACATCATTTCGGAGTTGTCTATACAAAATTCAAACTCCGATAAACTCTTACCACTTAAGCTTCTAAAATGAGAATTATTTTTCCATATAAACTCCGAAACGCACGAAAAGCCGACCATACACGCTAGTCATAATACACAATACAAAGCTACTCGAGATCTTAAACTATCGAACGGAATGTTGAATCTTAAAGTGATCGGTTCGTTACAGAGTGTTATATAGATGCAGATGCTAAGATGAATATTCGACCATACAAGACTAAGTAAGATAAAAAAAATGTCCATATTTGTTAGATGATGCAAGTAACATGCGTTGAAGATAAAACGAGAGATTGCTTGAGAAGGCCTAAAAATATTCGATGTCGACCTATAGATGCCCGTACATAAATGTGAAAGGAAAAGTAAATTACATAATATATGCATATGACTGTCTTTTATTTTCATAATATTAGTAATTTTGAACTTAAAAAAATTATAATACGCTATTTGTTCTGATTTATGTGGCATAATTCGAATCTCGTGAGTCAAACTTCTTAACTTTGATCATGGATTTAGACATAAAATCTTTAAAAAAATTATATATTTGAAAACTACGTTAAAAGTATGATAAGTCATAACAATTAAGAGAAATGGCTTCCTGGCCACTTAAACTTGCATCAATTTGTAAAGCCGATATATGAACTCTTGGGTTTCCCATTTGAACATCTTTACTTGAAAAATTGGCTATTAATAAATATTTGTAATGGTGTGTGTTGTTCCATTGCTGCTAATATGGATTTAATTTAATATTTTTGTATAATCACATCATCCATTCATCCACATCAGCTACCTCTCCGTCACTGTCGGCTACCCCCAATATACAACTACTGACACTTGCATTTTCTGATTAAAAACTATCTCAATGTCCCATCGCCGGCAACTGACCAAAAGAGCAGCTGCTAATAGGGAAGATGAACACAGACATAACAGCATCGGCAAAGCCGAAATACCTAGTTATAGATCGAAACCCACCTTTTACTAAGATCATAGCCAATTTCAACACCCTCGATTACCTCCATCTCACTACCATCTCCGGCATCTCCGGCATCTCCGGCATCTCCGTCACGGTCGGCTACCTCTCCGGTAAACTTTTTTCTCTACTTTAATTTTTATCAATCAAATATTAATCAACTCTTAAATCAACCAAAACTCTAAGAAAAAACCCGTTAACAAATCATTGTCCCATATCAAATATCTGGGATCCACATTTGATCCATCGACCAACTGAAACTTAACTTCTAACAAGTCCTCCTCCGGCATTTGCAATCGCCCACCACCCTCTTTCTTCTTTACTTTTTTTCACCTCTCAAACCTAAATAAAAGGTTCCACTATATAGAGAGCAAAGGTTATAGAAATTTGAAGTATTATTCAGCTTGATTGCATTGAATTGAAGCTGGACCAAAACGAATTACAGTAAGAAAGCTAAAATAAAAAGATATAAATTGGGGAACCATAGAGCGAACATGAAAGAAATGAGAGTAAGTGACTGAAGTCGGTCGAGGGTATGAGGATATCTTAATTATGTATGTGACAGTTACGTACAGAGGTGGGAGTGAGGGGAAAAGAGAAGGGAAAAGGGAAATGTCTCTTTTTTCTTTTCTTTTTTTGTCTATTTATATTTTATTTTGATTCTCATATTTTTTTTAATAAAAATAATACATTCCACGCGCCTTTGTAGCGTGATTTGCACACAATTTAGTCATGTCAGTTGCGGCGCTTCCACATAGGCATAGTCAACGGTCAAATGTATTTATTAGTATCCATTGCATCAAGTTGGAGTGTTCAAATGGGAAAAGTGCAAGTTCATGTATCGGCTTTTAAAAGCCCTACAAGTTTAAGTGGCCAGAAAATCATTACGCGCCTAATAATTAATAACACAAAATACGTAAAACATATATGAAAAAATGACTGCCAAAGAAATAATCATCTGACTCTCAACATCCAAACGTGTCACCTAAATTGGGACAGAAGGAGTAACAATTTTACAATCAAGGTAATATAGCTATTTGGATAATAAATGAATCACTTTAATGAGTTTTTGTGAGTTTGTTCTATATCTTCATTTATATTGTATTTTTTTTCCATATCAATTATGTTTATATAATTATGCTTTAGTAGTAAGTCGGTTCTATTTTATTCCAAATTTTAAAATTTAAATAGTAAAAAGGAAAGAAATAAAAGAGAAAAATAGAGAAAATAAGATGTTAAAGGACAATATCGGCCTCCAATCTTCTTAAGTTTTAATCTGCACATTAAGGGGTAATTTGGATATTAGACCCAAAATTGTAGAACCGGGTAAAATTCCCTCTTTTTTCCCCCTCTTTCTAAGAGTACAGTTAATTCCCTCTCTTCAACTCAAAAATTAGCAGGGCTCGATTCCCTCTCTTCCCCGGCAACAAAGGTTCCTACTTTATCAAACTCTTTCTTGTTTTCCTTTTCTCTATATCGTCTTGTTTACTTTCTGATGTAGAAGTTCGTACCTGAAATTGTTTTTGATATGCTCTCGGATATATGTATTACTACAGTTATTGGGGTTGCACTTTGGTTCAATTGTTGTGTGGCTTCCAGGGGCGAAGCTACTTTGGTTGAAGGGTGGTCAACTGACCACCTTAGCCGAAAAATTATACTACATATAAGGTAAAATATTACTTGTTATTGATAAAAAACAGACTTTGAACACCTTGCATAGCCCGCTGGCAAATGATGTTCAAAATTTGAACACTCTTATTCAATTTCCTGGCTTCGCCACTGGTGGCTTCCTTTGTTTTGTAAGGTCCAAGCGCAAATTTATCTTTTTAAGAGTAATTTTATAGTGGGAATGAGTGTGTGCTTTTGAAAAGGAAGGTCTCTAGTATGAAATCGTATATTTGTTTTAGGTGGTATTTGAGATATCTTTCATCATTTACAGTTGATTAAGGTTTTCTGTATTTTGGCTATGAATGGATTATGTGCTTAGGATCGGGAAGGACAACGAACAATGAAATGGACTTTTTCTTTGTCCAACAAGTTTAATAACCAATGAATTTCTATTCTGATTTTTTGAATTATATGGAAGTTGGTCCAGTTTGGGGAGTGATGGTCTGACGTCTAGGAACTGGCTTTTTATTTTCCTTCTTGTGATAATTAAGGGGTCTTTTGTTTTCAAGTACTATAAAGAAGCCTCCTCATAATGTAATACTCTAGTTAATATTTAATCAAGTAGATCTGGATTAGCTTTTATAGCTTCTTCTTACAGGAGATTAATATGAGCTCCTGATATTAGTTAGTAGTTTTTTATATTAATGAACTGCTATAATCACAATTCACAGGCCAATGTGAGAAATTTGGTAACCGGTGGTTCTGGATTATTGGCCCTCATATTAGTTGACAAACTAATGAAAAAAAAAAAAAGAAGAATGGGGTACAGGCTTCTAAGCTTTATTTTTTATTGTATATTTGAAACTACTGCATCTTTATGTATAGGTGGTTAGAAACATGAATATAATTACGTGAACTTTTGCACTATGCTCAGGTGATTGTTGTAGATAATTTCTCTATTGAACCAAAGATTTGAGCTAATTTACCATGGTAAAGCACTCCTTATAGATTTGAGCTAATTTGCCATGGTAAAGCACTCCTAGAGATTAAACTTTACCAAGCAATTCCGGTTTTACTTTTTAGAGCCTTATCTATGGCATAAACATGTCTTATCAATGTTAAAGCTTTTTCAATGACTAGCCAGAGCAAGTGCTATAGATCATATTACCAATATCTTTGTCATATCCTCATTTCACTTTTCATAATGCATGATATGTTTGGGTGCAAATAAGCATGATGAAGAGAATTATTTCACTAGTGAATATGTGTGCAAGAATTTGAGGATTGATGTTCATCTCAAAAATAAAATAAAATTGAGGATTGATGTGGTAGTGTGATGGTATTGAGTGGTAAGTTATGCTTCTTAGCTCATTTCGTGGCCAAATATTCTTTTCAGAGAAAGTTTATTTTTTATATATTGCAAACTTATTGAATTATAGGAAGATACAACAATTGGAAGAATATTTGTAGCATTGAACACCAGTTAAAGTGAAACAATGAAATGGTAGCCTTGGGATCAATTAGCATAGTTGGCTCAATGACATCTTCCTACGTATATGGCTACAGGTAGATGGAAACTTGATATACAAGTCTAAACTCACAACTTACATAAACCTATGGTGATCATTTTAATTTATTGATTGCATATGAAATTTTCTTATTCTTAAGATGGATTGTTTACTGAAATATTCCACAGCATCCAGAAACCACAAAGGTCCCTGGCACTCTTGTGGTGATAGTTCGATCTGCTGCCTATTTTTCCAACTCCAATCATATGAAAGGCAGGTACTAATTATTTAATTAGCTTAGCAATATCGGTTAGAAGGATACTGAGATGGTTAACTGATGAAGAGACAACCAAAAGAAACTAATCAAACAAAAATTCCACAATTAATGTTGAGATGTCACGTATGTTACCTCCTTCATTTTCAAACCTTTCACTTCTTTCCTTTAGGTTACATTAAGTAACTACGAGTATTTGTTTCATATTCTTTTGCAGTTGTTACAGATACAAATGCTAGTGGAATTCGTGCCTTAGAAAATTTGATTAAGTCCCTCAAAAAATGAGATGGAGTAAGCTGGTAGTATACAAATTTTATTTTTTCGCTTCAAGTTTTGACACTTTTTTTGCTTCTTTTGCTTGTAGTTAGCTCCAAAGATTTTTGACACTGGCTTGATTTTATTATTAGTTTATCATTCCTATTTTATTAGTTCATTTCTTCTACTTCAGTGTTCCAGAGCTATTAGCGTTCAACTTTAGTTAGGGGTGGGCATCGGTTGGTTCGGTTCGGTTTTGAACATTATCGGTTTTGTCTATCGGTTATCGGTTTACAAATATCATAACCTGATAACCAAACCGATAAGATATTGGTTATCGGTTATCGGTTAATCGGTTATATATCGTTATCGGTTCGGTTATCGGTTTACCTGATAAGATAAAACAACTAAAAAAATTTGCAATATATAAAACAAAGAAATCAAACTGCCAGAACGTGTAAACTGCCAACTTTTATTGTTTCTTAACAAAAGCACGCTCCCACTTCTGTGCAGTATCTACTGATGTCTGGCGGAGAACTGGTGGTGAGTCTTGC